GTGCTGTGATTTTGATCTGGTCAGTTAAGCAGTAGAGGGGGTTGTAAATCAATTTTATCTGCTTTAGTGTTAAAAAAATTAACACTAGGTGCACTAAAGGGGCAACAACAAGACAACCTCAAAATAGGTTTTTATATGTGGAGGCCATAGATATTTTTTTCTCCTCCTCATCTTTTCAAAATACTTGTTCCCACTAGTTTTGCATTTGGCAGGGTCCACGTCACTACTCCTAGCATGAGGTGATACCCAGACCACACAAAGGTTGCAAAGCTAGTCCAACCCCTCCTGAATGGTACATTAACACCATGGCCAGAAGATTTTCTGTGTCTCCCAGTACAGTTTCAAGAGCATGGAGGAGATTCCAAGAGATAGACAGTACGACTAGGAGAGTTGGACAGGGCTTTAGTAGATTCAAAAGCAGATACTGGTCCTGGTATCTGGACCAGTATCTGTTTTTTTATGCAAGGAAGAACAAAAACAACCAGTAGATACTGGAATTCAACAATTCCCACTTGACAGGGTTTGGTTTTCTTTTACTCAATAATTAAATGCTGTAGCTCTGGTTTTCTTCAGCAAATAAATAATTTGTGTTGGTTTGTTCATAACCCTTCTAAAAATACCACAGGGCGAAGGTGGTGCTGTGGTTTTTCTCTAATGTTTATTTATTGTTTCAAATCAAAGAATTTTACAATACTACTGAGTCTGGCGTCCACCATCCAGATGTTGTATGACCACAGAAAGAGCCAGATAGTAAGGATAAATTGATCGGTCTAGTATTGTCATTAGCTCATCACCCTGATCTGCTTAGAAAAATTTAGGGGAGCTCAAACTGCAGTTATTTTGTAACTCATTTGGATGATTTGTTTTAAAAGCCATAACATAATGCTTAGGATACTTCTGCCAAGCAATCCTCAGCAGATGGATAGTGGTGATTTTGATGTTGTTTACAGTTTCCTCAAAGAGCTCTTCAGCATAATTCACTTCTACAGGTCTGGGTGCATCCTGTAAATCACATGGAGGTGGAGTCTCGAATAACAGTGCCAGAGAGGCGGGCTTGGGAGGAAATAAAGCTAAGTGTTCCATCTGCCCTGATTGCAAAATGAACCATACGCCCACAATTTTTGAAGTATGCTGTTGTCTATCTCTCCACTCAGTAGTCCGAGTTTTTAATGATTTCCAGCCTACACATGGCAGAAGGCAAGTCTTCACATCACAAATGAAATGAAACAAGATATTTTCCAATTCTCTCATTACATTGTCAACCTTGCTAAACAAGCAATGCATTACCCTCCAGCCTGCCCACTGAATAAGTTCTTAAACCTAGAAACATGTTTATCAAGGGTGAGAGATCATGGGCTTAACTTCATTTTTAAAGACCTTGGACTGCAATTACACTTTCCCTGTCTTTACACAGACTCAAAAACAAATTAATCACCAGACCAGTTAAAATAATCATCCTTCACTCAATAAAGCTCAGCCGCCAATGGGCAAAAAAAACTTTCTTATTACATAAGCATGTAATATCATGCTTATATAATCTGTCAAATTTAATCCAGGGCAACTAGCCACTATCTTCACTCGGGGAATCCGGCTTTGTTCTCATAAAAATTATCTTCCTACTGATTGGCTTGTGTGTATGAGAAAGAAGAAAAAGAAGAAGGGATACGCTTAACAGCCACAAAAAGACCCTCATCCAAGCACTGAGATATAAGAGATTAAATGCTTGTATAATCTTGGGTTTTTCTCTGTGAGGGTATTAATCAGTTCTGTCGTTTTCCATTTTTAGTTCTGAATAAATGTCACAAATATGAATCAGATGATGCCATGAAATGAGTTTTCATGTTTTTATGAGTTTTGAATTTAGTCTTGATAGTCATCTGTCGACATGATGCATGTAACCCATCTGAAGGTATAACAGACACATTTATGTATACATTGAGTGTGTGTGTATATGGAGAGACGAGAACTGTCAAGATAGACAACCACTTCTGTAGCCCTCCACCGATCAGGCCTGTATATTAGAGTGACCAGAGAGAAGACACTCCTCAGTAAAAGGCGAAACGGCCCACCTGGAGTTTGTCAGCAGAGATTTTGCTGGAGATACTTCAAGGACAGAAGGACCATGTCAAAAGAAACCATGTGTGAACATTAGGGATTGGAATTCCATTAACAATAATGCTTATCATTTCAATTCCTTATCGATTCTCTTATCGATTGTCATTGGGTTCTCATTGGCTCCGTTTTGAGAGAATTTATTGCCAAGCAGCAATAAATAAATTACATTCATGCAAATTAATTGCATACTGTGGGTCAAATGTTTTTGCATGTTTGTCGATATTTGTTGATATTTACCCTCTTATTTGTAATCAGTGTTGGAGTTGTTACTCAAAAAGTGCAAAAAGTCATTATTGAACATATTACAGAGAGCACTTTTCTCAAAAGTAATGCAGTACATTACTTAATTACTCACAGGAAAAGTAATTTGTTACACCACTCGTTAAATTACTTTTATGTTACTCTGTAAAATAGCTGAAACACTGTCTCATAACCACATTTTAACAATATAACCTAAGGCTACTACTCCACACACCAACACAAATCTCTAGTGAGGACATGCATTTCTAAAATCTTTCTCTTAGTAGAATACAAAGCTGACCATGCAAAGTAAAGTTGAAAACTACACTCCACACACACAAAAAAAAAACCCGATTGCCACAGTAATTCTACTTGAACAGGTAGAATCTGCTTGTTACCTGTTGAAGTTCAGAGTCTGGCTGCTGGGCGGCAACTCAGCCACTCGGCATTTACTCGGCGTTCACTCTGGGTTCTTGGCTATCTTAGTGTTAGCATGCTGTTTGGACAGATGCTTGCAAAGAACCGAAGTTGTGTTAGCAGCATAATGCAATTGTTTCTGCCCTGGAAGCAGTTTTCAACTTTACCATTTATCTCGTCCTTTTGTGTAATACAGATAACTGTCCATATCCAAACTTTAGACTGCGTTACTATTTCGTCCTCTGACACGCGAACTGAAATCAGCAGGTTGTAATGCGAGTGCAAAAACTGATAAGAGGCAGGCAGGCTAACAATTCCAAGAAATTGGATTACTTGGTAGTCCAGTAGTCCAGTAGATTCCCATTCCTAGTGAACGCATCCACTTAACACACTGTTTGCTGCTACAACTACACATGTTTCTTTTCCAAATATTTATTTATAAGTGACTTATGTATGTATGTATGTATATATATGTATATATTGTACTATTCTTAGTTAGCGTATTGTCTGTCTTGTCTTAATGTTGGTTTAAAGTGGAGCACTGTAACAAAAAATAATTTCCCCCAGGGATCAATAAAGTATTCTGATTCTGATTCTGATGATTCTGATGAGCCATCTTCTATTGGCCAAAGCTCATTTAAATTGTAATCACAGAGGAAAGGAAGCATAGAGGAGGAGATGTTATGGTATAGGAGTGGTCACTTAATTAGCATATACATATGCAGCAACATTTCATTCCATCTTTCTACATGGCAATAAAACAAAAGCCACCTCCAGGGTTTTTCATAGACTGTTTTTGCCATATAATTCTTTGATTGTTTGTCCTGGGGCTTTTTTTTTTGTTTGCTCGCCAGCACTTTCTGCTTGGAATGCTTCATCCACTTTAGACAACAGTATGCAGTAAAAACCATGGCGCAAATTATATATCATTTCTCTAGTTTTACTTGGCATAGTTTCAAGTCCGCACTTTAGAGTTGAAGTGAAGACTCATGAAGGCTGCATCTTGCTGCTACATCATCTTAAATCTGTCACGGACACGCTGGCCTGTCTGACGACTCCAGAAGGTTAAAGATATAAAGACCTGGATAACCCCTAAATTTCCTGCGTCTAAATTTAGATAAAACTGTGGTTATTATTTTCAGCCCTAAAAATCTTAGCAGTATGGTCTAACCAGATGCTTACTCAAGATTTGTTTATATATATATTTATATTGTATTTATATAGAGTCATTTTTGACCAGGATGTGAACTTCAATGTGCATATTAAATAAATATGTAGTTTGGCTATGCCATGGAACAAGACTTTTGGACTGCCTCTCATTCTCATTCTTGTTCTGAATCTGGAAAACTATCAGGTGAAAAAGTAGGGAAAGGCAGTGGTGCACGCACTGATTGGACACGGTGAGGACATACTTGGTAGTGGAAGGAATACTTCAAGGTGTTCCGCCTCATGGTTAAACCGTTCTCATGGTTAAAGAATAGATTTACTTTATATCTCCTTTTAAACATCGTCTCAGAACGGGATAGAGGCAAGTAGAATATATCAAATGCACTATCCCACCCAAAACCAAACCCCAAGAACAAAGCAGGTAAAATGGCAAAACTAAACCAGTTTTTAAAATCAACCATACATATGTGCACGTGTGTTTGCATGTGTGCATAACATACACACACACACACGCACGCACGCACTTTTCTATCGTCCTATTTTGCTGACCTCTGCAGGAATAATCTGTCTTTTTGCAGTATGGAGTGCTCTCCATCTCTACCCTGGAAATGTGCGCACCTGATGACGCAGCAATCTCTGGCTCTCTGTTGCTGCGTCATTTGTGCATCAGACTACAAACAAAGCTGCGCTGCCGTTCTCCATCACGCATGCCTCTATCTTCTGTTTTACTTATTCATTCATTCCTAAAATGCGAACTCGGCATTCGGACACCTGCAGACTCGCACTGGACGTCCCACAGTTGTTACATAATTCATGCTTTTTGGCATCTCCACAATTCCCATCTAGTCTTAACTCTCAGTAACATTATAATGACAGACGCAAAAAAAAACAAAAAACAAAAAAACAAAACCAAACCTATATGAGATTCGTTATTTTGCTGCAGTTGCTGCGTCTGTGCGCCGCACCGACCCGTCCCGTCTCGGCCGCTCACTGGCATATTTTACAAGGCGGAGGAGGGCTTTACTGACATCAGCACTGCCGCTCTCTACGACACAGAGCAGGCTGCCTGTCTTCTGACCAGCCAACGCCATCAACTTATCCTCCAGTCGGGGCTTTGATTATTTGGGTCGCTCTGTGGGTTTTCAGGTACTGGCGAAGCTTAACAGTTCGCGCACCGAGCCATCAGTGGAAGGGGAGAGTTCCTCTGTGCAGTTTCAGTGGTGAGTTTGGGGCGTGTTTGTGGGAAGCCGACAGCAGGGCAGACTAGAGCATGGCGAACTTCATATTCGCCTAGTCATGCTTCTTGTAACTGGTAATATTTAGGGTTCATCAGCCTGCAAACAGAATGGTGTGAGATATGCGTTTTATTTAAAATATTATTACATTTTGATTATTTTTTATTTATTCAAACTGACCCTCAGGCAGATATTGTAATTTTTTTTATTATTATTTCTCTAGTGCAAAAAACATGTGTCAATATATTCTTGGTTTAAAATTCTAACATGCTGGATTAAAAACAGTACATTTGTTGACAATCTAACTCCATTTTAAGTTTGTAGGAGTGTCAGTCTGCGTCAGATGGTTACGCAGACAAGAAAGTAGAGGCAGCAGGATCTCATATAGAAGAGTGCACACAGAGGCACTCTGTAAAGAAAGCCAAATTCTGCAGTGCAGTGGATTTCCTCAGGTGTGTGTGTATGTGTGTGAGTGTGTATATGTGTGTGGCTTCCAAGTAGACTGATTACCATCAGGAGAAAATATCTACACTCTGGGATTTCATCTAAAGGTCTGGCAAAAGTTGGACACCCTTCAGTTTCCAGACTGCCTGGTGTCCCGAAACAATCTTGTCTTTTGTCTTTTCAAATCACAGACACTGTGTGTTGGGTAATCTGCCTTTCTGAATATTTGGATTGTAAAAGCACGCAAGCCTCAGACTGGGTCCCTGTGACTGACAGGTGAATTACTGTGGATTTTTAAGGAACTGTGTGGATATCCAAATCAGGAAAGACCAGCCGACTGTTCAGTTCACCACAATTGAGGAAGTTTTGGATAAAGAACTTTGGACCTTTTCTTTAAGGGGTTATGGGTCTAATTGCACCTCAGGGATAGGATTTTGAACAGATGTATTTCAATTGGTTCATCTCAGTGAGCATGGCAGAGCAAATCTCAGGTGGCATCCCATGAATCCCAGGTTTAGAGTGAGAACCATTTTCACCTCAGGTATTCTGAATTAACTGAGTTTTCATTTAGTACTATTTAATTTCACTTTTAATACAAAAAAATCTCAGGTGACATCAATAGGTTTAGCTTTGTACCTTCCTGTGAACTCTTGTTGCTATGGCATCTCACAGCTTCCAGTACCGGGCGCTTTTTGAATATGAGCGTGAGCATGGGGATGATATCAGTCTCCAGCCAGGCGACCTGCTCACTGTTCTGAAGGCCACACTGATGACAGCAGTGGGGCTGGAGTACCAGGAGGGGGATGAGCGGAGTCCCAAAGGTTGGTTGCATGGGATTAATGAGAGGACCAAGGAGAAGGGAAACTTTCCAGGGACATTTGTAGAGTATGTTGGGGTGGTCACAGTTGGCCCTGCTGTGGATAAATCCTGGTCCTGACCTGTACCCCCAACTCCAGGGGGGAAACAGACAATGGTGGGACCTCAGCCTCCTGGAGGAGCTGCTGCTTTTGGTAAGTTCAGTTTGAGTTTGCATCGATGAGATCAACTTGATCCTTGGGTTTTCTGTTGAAATCTTTTTATTGGCTTATCAGTTCGAACGTAATATAACAGAGCTCAAGCAAAGAAAAAAACCAGACCACTTTCTCAGTTTTATTAACAAGGTTGCCAATGATACCACCACACATGGGTAGTGTTTGGATTTGGTTGACACTACAAGACCCAAAAGGGGCTAACCAGGGGTGAAAGTGGAGAGAGTGATCATTTATAGAAAAACATCAAGAGGGTTTTTGTTTGCTGCAGCTTGGTATTGCTTTAGGAGAAAACCAACGTATACTTTAAAACTCTACAGATATCGTTTATCCTGCTCATTCTTGTCCAGTTATAGCCTAAGTAGAATCTGCTTTTTTGTAGAATTCAACTGGCTAAATTGATAAAGAGAAGTCAAACTCAAAGCCACAGGAACAGTACAGGCCAGCTGATTATAGCCTGTCTTGTTTTTGAGTGAGTCATTTCAACCCTCTGCATCACTGCACCACACCAAATCCCACTTTAACCTGTAGCGCTAAATTGGCAATGAGGTTTTGGCAAACATTTTTAAAGAACAGATAAAGAAGAAAAATGTGGTACGAAATAGTAGATGTTGGACTGGTAAAGTATGTTTGGCATAGTGAAATTAGATGCCACAGTACAAACAAAGACAAAATATACAAAATCAAATACTACTGCAGCCATCAAAGTCTTGTGTTAAAGTCTTTCAAAAAAAATAAACCAAAAGAACCTCTATTTAAAACTCTGCATAGATTGGAAGACAATTTACAGTTGGGAATGATCTGAAAGTAATGTTGATTAAAATGCCTATCCTTTGTTTGGACTCATGTTCTTGATAATCCCTTGAGTAGGGAAAACTGGGTAGTTTTAGGTTCCTGCTGGTTCAATTTAAGGCCAGAAAAGCAACCATCAAACCATCAAATGGGAAGGTTACTTTCAGTTTTCACATCTTGTGTTTCTAAGGCTCAGGGTGAGAGGTTGCTAGTGGGTCATATATGATTCTTCAACAGTTTTACAAAACACTAAAACTTTCGTCCAGATAATTATAGTTGCATGATGTTACTGATGTTATTTGTTACTACTGCAAGCATGCGTCCTGCATGCATGCACATATAAGAATCGTGTAAGACCTAAACATTTATCAGCAGTTTGCAAAAAACAGTCATTTGTTAAGTGCTACTGTGTGTAAGCTTGCAAATCATTTGTTTGTAATGAACTGTAAAAATGGCATTGAGCAAGTGTAGGTCCAGACTGCATAGTGCAGTGGTGTTAATAACCTCTATTATTTCACAATGCATTGCATATGAGCAGGAAAATATATTTTGTATTTTTGTTAGCAGTAACCTCATTTTCAACTAATTCTATATATTCATTCCATTAGACTGGGTTGCATTTGTTCAGATTTTTTGCTGAACTTGATCCTTCAGCTGTAGTCCAGCTAGACTTGTCTTAAACCTGTTCTGTGTAAATTCTACCAGACCCAAGTAGCTTCTCTTTCTCTGTCAGCTATGTGAATACTTGATAAAGTGTGTTAGTCGTGATGGAATGCATTTTCTGGAAGCTAATATGATTTCATTGAAGTTTTCTGCATCTTTTATTTTGTTAGATAACCGATTAATTCCTATGAACATATTTTGGACAGTTACAACTGTTTTTAGTTTTCCATTAGTTGAGGCCTTATTTTAATGGTCATGCTATGTTATGCTACCTATGATTAATTATGATTACTTCTCCATCCTACATTCATCATTGCATACATGCACTACTTTGCATTTGGTGATTCATTCCCTGACTCTGATTCCAGATAGAAGACTGACTTAATACTTAGAACTAATGTGCTCGCTATGTGTATCCAGTATAAGTGGATTTTTTTTATGGTTTATTTAGGATTGAGCACAAACATGCAATAATGAGGACTACAGGGACTTGAGCCTAAAAATCTGAAAAGCACTGGGAAACAGATCTGCCCTACATAAAAAAGCTATTATGAGCCCTGCAGGCTTTGTTTTATAGAGGGTTGGGTGGTTAGCTCCATTTTAGTCTTGGCTGTCTGATGCATAGTTTGTTCAGATCTGCTGTGTTTATGGCTTTTTATTTGCTAAACAGGTCAGATGAAAAACAATGGTTTCTCCTTGCCTTCCTCTGCTGACTCCTGGCTGCTTTTAATTGTCTGCTTGCTGATTCTTTTATGAGTCTTAGTCTTACAAAAGTAACATTCATGTTGTTCTCGTCTTGAGTACCTGTAAATGTGTTGGTCATGTCCATCTACCCCTGCTCTTTACAATGATCAATGATGATGATATGGTGCCTGTAACATCCTTCAGCATTACCTGAATGGTGGTGGGTTAGTGAAGGTCTGGGGAGGAATATCCATGAGCACAGACCTTTACAGGCTAGACAGTGGCACCCTGACGCTTGGGAATTGGGATGAAATTCTTGGACTCACTGTTAGACCCTATAGTGCACGGCGGTGTGCGACAGCTGTGAGAGTAAGGAGACACATCCCAGAGGATGAAGGAATTGATACCACCGATTGCCCACCACCCCTTCACACACACACACACACACACACACACACACACACACACACATGCAAACACACGCAGAAACAATTGCTTGACCTAAATCCAATAGAACACCTCTAGGACATTATGTTTAGAACACAAGCAGTTTGGGGGGAGTGGCTATACAAATATACAGTTTTGATTTGATGCAATGAATTTTTGGCAAAAGAGACTAATCTGCTGCTTTATATTTCTTCACTTTGATTTTTGGGGTGTTTCTGAATTCATCGCTCTGTATGTTGGTCATTCTCATTCCCATCAAACATCCTTTTGTTCATAACATATTACGCAGTCCCTTATGAGTATAGATCTCCAGCATGATTTTTTTTCCCATTAAGAACTGATGTCTTTTTAAGAGGTGTGTGTACATTTTCCATTTTTCCTGAAGGGGAGGGATGGGAACATTATTATGACAAATAGAGACAAGAGATAAGAAAAAACCGTTGAGGTCATCAGAGTTCACTCTGGAGCTCACAGACGTAATCACATGCTGCACTCTCCTCTGCTGTGATAAGGCAGCTCATGTCTTATCTGTAGATGAGCCCTATAGCATCCTATGCTCTGTTCCTCTCTTATGTAAATGAGGGATGCAGTTAGATGCAAACTAGAAGATTAGACATCGTCAGTTTGTTCAGAGGCTTTGATCAGAAGAATTTGGTCAAGTAGAGCAAATTTGACACAACACCCTCACACCCTCAGTTTCATCACCACAGCAAGATCTAAGAAAAACTTTGAAGGTTCATAGAGAGAAACACCCCCGCATAGCAAGCAGGTCTGGCCCGGTTCTGGTATCAAGCTGGCACTTCTGACTGACTGGTGTCATGGCAGGGTGTATGTCAACCAGATGTGGGCCAGGTCTGGCAATGATGGCACTATTTATGTTCCTATTTTCCTACTTTAGTTAGAAGACCCAAATGCCATGTTACAATA